TTGCACAGGATAGTTGCAAGTGAATGAGTTGATTTACATCAAGAGTGTAGCAATAAGCCATCAAAGTATGCTTAATAAGTGTTTTCTAGTATTATTCCAATCTAGCAGTGATGTTGAAGAATTCCAGATGTAAAGGGAAAGCAGAAATCCGCACTGAAAAGGTGATACTTGAGCAGAAAGCTAATGAAAAAGAGGGAGTGCTCTGTGTGGCTGGATGGAGAAGAGTTTCCAGGCAGAGAGAATGGTAAATGCAGGGCTCAGGGCATTTTTGGCGAACAAGGAGACTGCTAGGTGGTAAACAGACTATAGTAAGGCTTGAAACACTATTCCCATAATCCCGGCAAAGGATGATGGGTGTGGTGGAAGTTATGGAAGTAGCACCAGGTGTATTCTCCCTTTGGGTTCTACATGAGTATTGGTAAGGTTTCCTTATCACTCGGGGGAGTGTCTGTTGAATTGGGGAGACTTCAGTACAATTTTGTACGGCTGAAAAAGATGTTTACTTTTATTTCATCAACCACTGTGTTAGTCTGAGTAGACTAGAGAAACAAATTCATAGACACTCATATGTGTATAAGAAAGAACTTTTTATAAAAGAGCAGCGGTACATTGAGAAAACATCCCAGCCCAGTCCCGATTGAGTTCCAAAGTCTGATATTAGCCCATACGACCAATATCAATCTGTAAGCTCCTCTTCAGACTCACAAAACACATCAATGATGCTGAATCCAGGAAGGTCACAGGCTAGTGGTGGAAAGTCTTGTGGGTCCTGTGGTGTTGTAAACATCTGAGCACTGGCAGGGGTCTCCACATGGCTTCTCCAGGTCCCAGGACATGGGTACTATCAGCATAGAACCATGTGTTGTGTCAGTAGAGCATCTCTCAGGGAGTGAGCTTGTGTCCCGCCTCCAACTAGTTATTTATCTCCTTAGCGCCTCCAAATGAGGTCCTCAAGCTGGAATCTAATTGAAAAACTCCACCCCTTCACTCATAAGTCTCAAATTGACAATAGATTATGTAACTACCACAACTATGACAAGACATTCAACTGTGAGCATCATAACAAACTATGGATCCCCTTGAGAAGAATGCGGGCCCCAGAACACTTCATTGTGCTCCTGTAGAACCTGTACATGGATCCAGGGATAGTTGAATGGATTAAAACGAAGAAAGGTGTGTGTCAGGATTGTATCCTCTCACCATACTTATTCAGTCTGCATGCTGAACAAATAACCAATGATTGAGTGGGACCAGGCAAACAGAGTGTGTGAAAAATGACTAGAGGGGATGAATCCACTTTTCCATTAGACTCTGTACATAAGAATGAGCCATTTCAGCAGCAGAGAGAACCCCACTGTCATCATGGAGAGAACAGCCACCAGCAGAACTTGTGGGAGAAGCCTGCCAGAAGTGGTGGAGGGCCCAGAGCCCAGGAAACAGAGCCCTGCTGAGACAGAACAAAGGAACCCATCTTCATTAGCATGTGCTTTCCAGGCCTACGGACGGCAGGGCTTCCTGGGCCACAAAGGACTGTGAGACAAAGCTGAGGTCCAGAGACAGGCTTGGCTGCTGGCTAGGCAGAGATTTTGCTGTTGACCAAAGACTATCTTTAATGTTTTCTGATACTGGCTTTTGGTATCCTGCTACCCGTCTGGGCAGGAACAGGAAGGCAAGGGCTGACCAAGGACAAAAGCAAGCCAGACCAGCCTGCGCCAGATAAGATAACCAGTACCGGGGAAGTAAAACCAGATGCTCCAGGTTCAAAGAAAGCCGCAAGGAGCCAGCAAACAATCCTTGGAGCAGCCAAACCCCTATCCATAAATGCCGGACATTCCTTACCATCCCTTTAAAAATTCACGCCCCCCACTGCTGGGTGTGACTTCCCTGGCCTGGTAGCCTACGTCACAGAACCTCGTCCAGGAACTTCCCCTAATAAAGCTATTTCTGTTTCTGCTCTCCTTTGTCCTATACTTTGTCTGTCTCCCCGTGCCTCAGCTTTGCCTTTGCATTTGGTGGCCGAAACCTGGGAGAGGGAGGGACAGTGGCTCCATGCCGTCCCGGCCCTGCTTCAGCTGGGACGTCGCCCACCCGCCCTCTCCTCTCAAACCTCTGGAGCTATCTGAATGAGCGACTTCTGGTCAGTATCTTTCTGTGGATGTTCGTTCTGTCTCGTTAGTTGCTCTGGACACTGAGGACCAGCAAACTCATATGGGAACATAGGGTCCATGGGAGGCTACCTAGCTGAAAGCCCTGAAAAGCAAGTACGCTAGGAAGCCGAATGTGGCGCCGCTGCAGGGGGTTATTCTGCAACCCTCGTACCAAGAGGAGTGGAAATAACTGCCTTTCTCAGAAAGGGTGCGACGATGAGGCCAGTTTCTCGTGTCCATCTTTTCTCTGTGTCTGTCTTCTCTCATGTGACTTCCAGACTTTGTCTCTGTGTTTTCCTCCTGGGAGTCCTGCTGATCACAGGACTCCCAGCACTAGGCCGAGCAGTCACTGCACCTTCTGACTGGACTAGGGGACAAAGGGTGTGTCTGGACTTTTTCTACCTGTTTTGCGTTTGCAGCGCTGCGCTGCTTTCTCTAAAACTCTTCTACTTCGTCTTTTTGCTACTTCCTTTTCCCCACCCTGAACAAAGGCCTCGGACAGCCCTTGATTTACTGGCCACAAAGCCAGGCCCCTCCCCCTCCTCAGCTCCCTGTGGGACTGTCTTTCACTGATGCTGGGTCCCTGTCGGCCAGTTAAAGCCACAGACCTGCGCCAGGGAACCTTCCTGTTCCGGAGAGTCCAGGACTCTCCCACAGGGCCCCTAGCTCTGACCGGGATGCCTCTCAGGGTTATCGGGCCACCTCCTGATTGATGGGTGTGGGCAAGACCAGGAGCCGTCCTTCTCTGCCTGTACGCCCTGCAGTTTAAGACACAATGGGAAGCGCCCTCTCCAGGCCTCCCAGGGACAGCACCTTGGGATGCCCGTTGGCTAACCTTGCTAAACTGAGCCTGGCTCCAGGCATTCGCCCTAAGTGTCTAGTCTTTTTCTGTAACTGAGTGTGGCCACAATACAAATTGGACAATGGGTCACGCTGGCCAGGAAATGGTACTTTCGATTTTACCATTCGCCATGACCTTGACAACGTTTGTCAGTGAACCCACAAGTGGTCAGAACTCCCGTATGTTCAGGCCTTCCTTTTCCTTTGCTCCCGCCGCTCCCTCTGTTCCTCGTGCCGACCTGCACAAGTTCTCCTGGCTCAGGTCCCCGCGCCTGTGCAGCTCAAGACGGAGTGTCAGCCCTTCCGCCATCTGCTGCCCCTGTAAACCCACGTCCATCGGACTCCCTGGAAGCTCTCTCTTTCCTTCCTTCCTGTCCTCCCCCTTACGCCACATCTCCCAAAACACTGATTACTTCTCCCCAGACCTCTTCCTCCTCCCAGGCCTCCTCCCAAACTTCACTTTCCCAACCACCCCCGCCTCCTCCATTGCCATCTCCTGTTGCCAGCCACACCTGTTCCCACCACCCTCTTGTCTGCCCCCTCCATGAAGTTTCAGAGGCTGAGGGACCTGTCTGAGTCCACGCGCCATTTTCCTTAACAGACCTCTCTCAGACAGAAAAGCGTCTAGGTAGTTTCTCACAGGATCCTACCACCTTTATTAAGGAATTCCGATACCGAACGCAAGCTTAGGATCTCACCTGGCATGACCCATATGTGGTGTTAGCTTCCACCCTCGGCCCTGATGTGCGAGAGCGCGTTTTCGCAGCCACTCAGCAGGACACAGATCAAGTCCATTTAACCGATGTCACCATGCCAGTAGGCTCCCAGGCTGTCCTGAGGGGGGAACTGGGTTGGACATACCAGGTAGACACCCCCGAGGGATGGAAAGGCAGGGCTCGCCAGGACTGCATGATATAATGCTTACTGGTTGGCTTGCCAGCCATCTCTCACAAAGCAGTAAACTTTGACAAGCTGTAGAGATCACCCAGCATCTGGGTGAGAACCCGGCAGCTTTCCTTACACGCCTAACTGAAGCCTTAACTCAGTATACTAGGCTAGATCCTACTTCCCCAGCTGGAGCTACTGTACTAGCCACTCATTTTATAACGCTGTCAGCCCCCAATATTAAAAAGAAACTTAAAAAGGCTGAGGATGGCCCTCAGACCCCCATCCGTGACCTGGTAAACATGGCGTTTAAAGTTTTTAACACCTGAGAGGAACAGGCAGAAATAGCACGTGAGTCCCGAGCCCGCCAAAAAGCTAGCTGGCAAGCCCAGGCCTTGATTGCCACCCTGAGGCCAGCAGGAGGGGGGGGTCAGAAGACTGCCAGAAAGAACAGCTTTCACCACCAACCGCCAGGACCTTGCTTCAAGTGCGACCAGGAAAGCACTGGGCTAAACATTGCCCGCAGCCCCGACCACCCAGTAAGCCTTGTCCGGTGTGCAGTCAGCATGGCCATTGGAGAAACAACTGCCCCTCGACACCTAGCCATGGAGGAACCGTCCTTCCAAACCCCAACCCGCTGTTGGCGCTGCTGGGTCTAGCAACCAGTGAAGACTGACAGCCTGGACTCAACGACCCCAGTAACCCTCGCTGAGCCAAAGGTGACAATCAAGGCAGTGGGCATACCAGTCTCTTTCCTGGTGGACATGGGAGCTACCTTCTCAGTTCTCCCTTCCTTCTTGGGCCCAACTTCTCCTTCCCCGGTCACGGTTATGGGAATAGACGGAAAACCCTCAAAACCCCTAATCACTCCCCCTTTGTTCTTGGACATAGGGGGCTCCCCTCTTTCCCACTCCTTCCTAGTAATGCCTTCATGCCCTGAGCAATTATTGGGTAGAGATCTGCTTCCTAAGCTAGGACTTAGCCTTCTGTGGAACCGCCTGCTACCCACCTCTCCTTACCCAGCTCCCTTTTGTTAACACTCTCCGCCACTGCTCCCTGATCCACAGCCTCTTTGACTCTACTGCTGCACTGGGTAAACCAGGAAGTATGGAACACTTCCCGGCCCTTCATCGCTACACATCATCAACCCATCCTTATCTGCCTTAAAGACCCCTCCACCTTCTCTTCCCATCCCCAGTTCCCAATTTCCCTCACCCACCATAAAAGCCTAAAACCTATCATTCAGCACCTCCTTGCTAATCAGCTTCTTCTACCCGTCCACTCTCCCTGCACCACCCCTATCCTATTGCTTAGTGCAGGATTTACATCTTATCAACAAAGCCATAGTCCCCATTCACCCCATAGTCCCTAACCCCTATACCCTTCTGTCCCGTATTCCCCCTAATACTACCCACTTTTCCATACTTGACCTGAAAGACACTTTCTTCACAATCCCACTGGATCCCACTTGTCAGTACCTGTTCGCTTTTACTTGGGAAGACCCAGACACTGGCACTGCCTCCCATATTCTTGGGATGTCTGCCCCCAGGGGTTCCGAGATTCACCCCATATTTTTGGCCAAGCACTGGCTACAGATTTGTTAAACTGTCCCCTCTGGCCGTCTACCTTGCTGGAATATGTAGATGATTTGCTGTTGTGTAGTCTATCTGAGGCCAGTTCGCTAGGACACACAGCCCAGCTTTTAAACTTTTTAGCTTCTAAAGGTTATCGGGTGTCACGCGCCAAAGCCCAGCTCTCCTACACATCTGTTACCTACCTGGGCTTGCGCCTCCAGTCTCCACCTTTACATTTACCAAACCCTGAAAAGCCTTTTTTTCCTTTACACTGATGAAAGGCTGGGTGTGGTGATTGGGTCCTCACTCAATCCTTGGGACCTACCCACTCACTGATAGCTTATCTATCCAAACAGTTACACAACAATCAGGGGATGGCAACTGTGTCTCTGGGCCCTAGCAGCAGCTTCTCTTACCAAGGACACTCTCAAATTGGCTTTAGGAGAGCCTATCCAAACTCTATCTACTCACAGGTTACAGGACCTTCTCTCACACCACGCTCTGTCTTTCCTCTCTCCCGGCTGCATGCAAGAAATCCGCCTTTTGTTTATTGAAAACCCTGACATACATCTGTGTCAGTCTCCCTCCTTAAACCCAGCGACTCTCCTGCCTCAGGAAATGTCAGTACCCGACACTCACTCCTGCCCACAAGTGGATGAGGAATTAACACTGCCTCATACTGGACTTTCAGATCAACCCTATCCTAAGTCTGATTAACTTTATTTGTTGTTGACACGCAAGGACAGCGGCGGGCTGCCTATGCTGTAGTCTCACTCAACCAGGTCTGGGAAGCCCAGCGCCTCCTGGACAGCACAACCTCCAAAAAGCAGAGCTCATTGCTCTAACTCGGACGCTCCATTTGGCTAAGAGAAAGACAGTTAATATTTTTACGGATTCTAAATATTCTTTCCTTATTGCCCATTGTCACACCAGTATCTGGAAGGAAAGGGGATTCCTTACCACTAAAGGATCTCCCATTATAAATAGTAAATTGCTAGCTAATCTCTTACAGGCCCTCCAGGTTCCAGCTAAAGTGGCTATCATTCACTGCAGGGGACACCAGACTGATAACTCTTTGGTCACACAGGGCAACAACAAAGCAGATGCTACTGCCAGAAGCCTAATTACCAACCTTGCTGGGTCAGCTCCAATACTCTACACTACCACCCCTGAAGTACAGTCCTCTTATACACCTCAGGAAGAAGCTGCCCTAACCCCAAAGGGAGGGGTAAAAACCTCTGAGGGGTGGATAGTTTTTCATAACAAAATAGCACTACCAACACAGCAAGCCCAGGACCTCATACACCAAATACATCACTCTTTACACATAGGACCCTGTGCCTATCCCAGTTCTTGCAGCCAATCTTTGACCACCCCACACTGGCGCAGCCCATTCAGACTGCTAGTTCCTCTTGTTCCACGTGCAAATCCATCAAGGCTCAGGGAGCCCTCACGCCAGAAGTCCCCACACACCAACTGCATGGCTATCTACCCAGCCAAGACTGGCAACTTGACTTCATTCTTATGCCTCGCCACAAAGGTCTTAAGTTTGTCCTCACAGTGGTAGACACTTTTACAGGTTGGGTTGAAACCTTCCCGACCAAATGGGAGACAGCAGATACAGTCACAAACATCCTGCTTACCCAAATCATCCCCAGGTTTGGTCTCCCCAATTCTATTCTGATAATGGC